GTGGGCCGGAGCTGGCCCCCGTGTGTGTGGTCACGCTCGTGGTCCCGGTGCTAGACCTCGGCCCTGGCCTGTCTGGAGCCTGGAGCGTCACGGCAATTCCATCCCCACGAGCCCTTGGGGCCCAGCCTGCCCAGTGGGTCTGAGGACTTAGGGCGTGGCAGAGCCTGAGGGAGACCCTCCAGGGTGTTCCCCATCCATCTCCTCCCTCACGGCCCCACCTCCCAGCCGGTCTGCTCCCCAAGGACCCCCTGTGACATGCAGGTGGGAGAGGCAGGCTGGCCTGGCCTCTGAGTGGTCAGCCAGCCTGGACGGGGAAGAAGTGTCCTGCTTGCCAGAGAGGGTGATGGCCCACCTGGGTGGGCAGGGCGCTGCTGGGCCAGGTGCCAAGAGGACAGTCGGCTCCCAGGGGAACCCCCCGCCAGCCCTCCCAGTTCCCGCGCATGGCGCCTTTCTCAGCTCCAGCAGTGCTGTCCTCGGTGGGGGCTCCCAGCGTTCTCCTGACCAGCTGCCCGGATCCTGCTGGGGCGCTGTCTTCTTTGTAAAAGCCGGGGTGTGGATTCCCACCTGCCAACCACCAGTGGGTGACTGGGACTGGCTGCAGGAGGAAGTGGAGGAGCAGGCTGGGCCAGGGGGAGGAGACTGAGGGGTGGGGCCGATCCTGGCCCCACCCACTGAACCAGGTGGTAGAGGGGTTTGGCCCCGGGAGGGAGGGGCTGCTCCTCCCTACTAACCTCCAAGGTGACTTTGGCCCCAGGCAGCTGGAAAGACCCAGCCTGGGTCAGAGCCCAAGCAGGGCCACCGGGCAGAGGGGTGGGGGTGGGAGCTCTGAAGGACGGGGGATAGGGCAGGGCCAGGCTCAGTGCAAGAGGCACGGTCTGCGGGTGGGGTCACCAGAGACCAGGCCCTGCTCCTGGGCAGGTGAACATCTGGGGCCTCCGTTTGCCCACCTGTGAGCTGACTCCCTGCCTTTCTCCTGGAGCGGCCACGGGGGCAAGCTGGTGCCGGGCGAGGCGAGGCGTGTGCGTGTGCGTGTGGGCAGGCGCGTGCCCAGCAGGAGCAGTGGGCACATCTGTGTAAGCCAGCTACTCTGCAGCCTGCCTGCTCCCTCTCACTGCTGACCCGACCCCTGGGGAGGCAGGCCAGCCCACCACCCATCCTCTGCCAGCTACATTTCCAGTTAGTGGAGCCAAGTGGGTTTGGAAAAGCCCTGGGGCTACATCCTGGCTTTAGTGACCCGGGGCCAGCGGCCTCAGCATGGTTTCCTTCTGCAGAGTGGATGCTGCCCAGGAAGCCGGGAGTAAGAGCACTTAGCCTTGGGAAAGGACGTCCCAGGACCCTGGGGAGGGGCTGCCACTGGGCACAGGCTGTTGAGGTGGCTAGGTGCGCCTGAGAAGGACCAAGCCAGGCCAGCTCTGGACAAGAACCCTTCCAGCAGAATCAGGAAGTGCAGGGCCCTGCAGCGAGGCCTGGAGGGGCCAAGACCGGTGGGTGGGGGTGGTGAGAAGAGGCTAGGCTTTCCCCAGCACCAGTGCCTGGGCTCCAGCCCTGTGGGCACAGGCATCATGACCCCCTCAAGCATGGCAAGGCTAGCTGGGCCCCCCCCCCGCCCCAGCCAGGGTGCTCAGACCTGCTTCTTGCTGAGCCCGTCCTCTTAGGGTCACAGACAACCTCAGGGTTGGAGCCAGGTGACACTCACCCCTCTAGATAACAGGGGTCCTGCACAGGCCCAGCCACACCTGCTCACCGGCTCTGCTGGGGAGGGGGCAGCACCGGCGGCAGGGCCTATCTAGCCCGGCCCCTCTTCCCAGCCAACTGCACCGCCCTTCGTGCTACAAAGTGGGGAGGCTGAGGCCCAAAGACGCTCTGCCCACTGCTGGGGTCAGTGGGCTTGTGGGGGGGCCACTGAGGCTTCCCAGCCAACCCCAGACAGTGCCCAGGATGGGGTCTGGCAGGAACAGACACTGCGGTGTCCCAGCCGTCCCACAGGAGCCCCTCGCCTCGGGGCACCACGGTGGATGCGACTGCAGGGCAGTGGGGAGTGGGGGCTGGTGCCGGGGCCTGCAGTGGTGCCCCTTCCCCAGAGCCGCCCTGGGCACCTCAGTGTCCAGCCCCGAGGGGCAGTGGGCACCCCTCCCGCTCCCTGGGGTGTGTGGGTCCCAGGCACACAGAGGCCAGGGAGAGTGGTCACACAGCTGGACGGCCCAGTCATCCCTCTGTTGGGGGCGGGGTGGGGAGCATCAGGGGCTGAGGAAAGTCCATCACCCCGGGGCCTGGAGGCCACCCCTAGGGCGCCACGTGTCCTTGTAAATCAGTATCCCTTCTATGGGATGGGAACACAATTTACACAAAGGGTGTGTTCCTGTGACCTCACTGCATGCTGCACAGGTTTTAGGCCCTCTCTCTGCACATCTGGCTTGCTGCCATCTACCGCCCCCCCCGATGGCCAGCGGGGACACTGCGGCCCAGCCCTCGGCCTTTAACACATCCAAAGACCCGGCCGCCCACGGTGGGACCCAGCTGTGCCCAGGGTTCCCCCAACCCTGACGCCTCACTGAGAGCCCTCGGACCCCGGGGGGTAAAGCTCTGTGCCAGTGTGTAGACCTGCAGATCCTGGCTTCTGCACCCACACCCGCAGGCCCCTGGGGTTCCCTGACTCGCTCACCTCCCGACTCCGACTCGCCAGCACTCCTGAGGTCGGACCCTGGTCCGTGCTGGACACCCCACATCGCACCCCAGTGGCCACCCGCCTACCCCGTCGCCAGCACCAAGCTGACCTGAGGCTGGCTGGGACGGCATCCCCAGTCTCTGGCCCCCACAATCCTCTGAGACCCTGAGGACTTCACCAGATGAATCTGGTGTTTGTGGGTTTGCCGCCATGTGGACCGGGGCCTTATTTTGTATTGTTTTCTGCTTGCCCCTCGGCGGCACTGAGGAACTATGACTGTCACAGGTTTACACGTTTCATGTCATTTGTGTGATTTTATGGCCCACTTTGCCAAATTCTGGTAGTCATGCCAGCCTGTCTCTGATCCTCTGAGCTTTCCGGTAGCAACAGTCCCGCCCCCGAAACCGGGCCAGGTGGCCCCTTCCCCGCGGGTCCGCACACCTCCTGCTCCACCTCACCTGACAGTGTGCCCTGGGCTCCTCTGAGCTCTGCTGGGGCCGGGAGGAGTGAGCTGACTGTCGAGAACAGATTCTCCATCTTTAGGGGAATTTGCTCCTCCCTGGCACTGTGGTTACTCGGCCCCACGCAGGTCCGGTCCGGGTGGTCCTGCCGCCCAGACTCTGTGCTGTCGTGTGGAAAGACAGCCAGAAACACAGGCTGTCACCTCAGGGCCGTGGAGGCCAGTAACGTGGGGGAGGCCGGAGCCCAGGTGGTGGCCTGGGCGGCTCGGCTGGACCGAGACAGAACCCACTGCCGTCCCCGCTCAGCCCGCGGGGGTTCTTGGCACATAACCACAGTCGAGAAAGCGCCTTTCGGTTCCCGGCTGGCCAAGAACTCTTACTTGGGAGAGAGGCTGAGCTCGAGCGAACGTTCTGTGTTCTTTTATCAAGACAATCGAGATTTCTCGTCTCACCCAAACGCAGGAACACATTTTCTGATGTTAAACTGTTACATTTCAGTCAAGCCCAAGCCCCGCTGGATCCAGTCGATGTTATTTTAAAATATTTCTACGTGAGTAGCTCGTACTCCCCTCAGGGCTGTCACACACACTCACACACACACACACACGGGGAGTCTGTAACCTTTTCTCCCATCGCCACCCCCCAGGTGGCAGAGCCCAGGTGGCACTGGCCTCGTGAAAAGGTCGTCGTGTGTCCTCTATTAATGTTTCTGGAGCAACTCTATCAGTCAGGTTCCCGGGGTCCTGGATGTCACACGCAACCACCTCTGCCAACATCTGTCCCAGGCGTCACGGGGCTGGCGACGCAGGAGGCGACCGCAGGGCAGGAGCAGAGCTGTGACTACTACTGCGTTCATGTCAGTTACTGGTTTATTCAAGTCCGTATTTCTACTTACACTCATCCTGGCACTTCATATTTTCCCAAAACTTACTCGTTTTTCTACGTTTTCAAAGTAACTGGCTCATCGTGATTTGGAGCATTCTCTTTCCTGCCTTGTTCTCTGTCTGTGGTTCACCCTCTTGTCTTCCGTAGTTTTTTTCTTGCTTCACATTCAAAAAAAATCATCAGTCTTGCTAGCGTTTTCCTCTTCTGGACTCTTCAAGGAAAGACTCTTGGCTAAACGTTCCACTGTTTCCCACTTGTTGAGTGTAAAGTTC